TAATCTGATGATAATAGAGTCTTGTCAACTCTCTCTGCTATCTATATTTACCAATGGACTGCTGATTTTTATACATTTATGGGAAATTTGAAAATGTAGAATTGTAGAATTGAAAATAAGCTTATAATCAGTACGAAAAGGTTTATAGGGTAGTCAAAACGGGATGTTTTTTACGTCTGATGATAAAACTTCTACTCTAGTTTCATTTTTTTAGCGATTAAATTAAAATAACTTAAACATTTTTAAATTCTAATTTTATTTATTTTTTCAATAATTGACTAAAAACGCTTAGTTTGCTTATCAGCTCTAATAATGGGAGATGAGGTTGACAAAATTGTAAATGTATATGTATTACATGTATAGCTTATCTAAGCTGAATTGTGCAAATTATATAATGCATCGTATTGGAGAATGAATAATTTATTCAAAAGAAATAACTATATATTTAAATAATAATACTTAGTAGTAGTTTATTAATAATATAACATAATTGTATTTATCGTACAGGATCGTACAACTGCTCAGCTCTAAGCGCGTGCATTCAGAACTCATTGCGAGCTTGTTCACACAAGTAGAGTACAGATAAATGGAGTTCTACTGTATCCGTTGGTACTTTACGCGAGAAACGACTTTTTCTCGCGGACTACGAAACTGGTAGTTCTGTTCTGCGGCCATTAAGGCCTCTTAAACGCATTCTCGCGGACGCGGCGGCCCGCGAGGACCGCCGGCCTCGGGTCTCGTTGCATTTTTGTCGCGGAGGTTTCTCGTTTCGTTTTCGACGCGTCCGTCGGCCACGATCGTCGCCTGTTTTAAGTAGATAATGATTCATAGCGTCGTATCGAAGGTTTATCGTTATTTTATTCGCGAGTACTTAAGGCACTTGGCTTCTCCGAGATTCGAGAGAACCGGCTGCGCGGACCGTTCAGATAGGAAGTATCAGGAATTACCAGTTCTTGTAATAAATGCTTCAGTGTAGTTATTCCGGAGTCGCTTACAATTTACAGTTTTCGCGGCGGTCAGGACGGGCGGCATGTTGCGGAATGTTTCCTCGGAAACGTTTTTATCGACTTAGTTTTCTATCTCCGTTAATTAATGGGTCACAATTGAAATGAATTTGGTTGCAATGAATACGTTCTAATCCTAAGGATTTGCTCGATTAATTATGACTGATAAACAGCCACTTGCAGTTAGATTTGAACGCAGCATTGTTACTTCGATTTTCTTTGGTACCTTAATCGTTTGATTTCTTTGTAAATATTTAGAGTTGATCTCTTTAACAAAAATTAGTTATGTTTTCCACACAAAGTGTCATTTCTTCGTTACACCAAAGATAATCTATTTTTATTTTAGTAAGCGTAATTGTATTTTTACTATTCACATCTCTTGTAATAGTCACGCGTTTTCGAGCCTCTAATTTCCAAGATCTATATGTGTGAACACATTTTTCCGGGGCCAAAATAACAGAATCCGCAATAACGTTCGTAAAGCTAGTGTGAACGAAAAAAAATGTACAAAAAAATACATGGTCTGAAAAGGAGGTACCGAGTCGTCCACGGAGCGGTTCAAAGACATTTATCGCGAGCCGATCGCGTGTCTAATCGGTAGCGCTCGGCGGAGGCAAGGACGCAACCTATCGACTATAGCCTTGGCTCGTTCGTAAAACGCAACCGGCCGCGCCGCGTTTGCGACGCGGAGATCGGTTTTCCATAGAATGGCCGGTCTCGGGTGGGCTCGTCCGCGAGCGGCACGCAGCGAAAAAAGAATCGAACATAATTAACCCATAAAGCAACGCAATCGGCGGAGATCTCCGCGGATTTACCCATAAGCGAGCGCCCGGCCGCTTTCGAGCGCACCTGTATACGCGGCCGTACACGAACGCCGCGCGACGCGTGCACCCATGCACACGAACACGCGGCGACTAGGGATAGGCCAGTGGTTCTTAACCTATTCGCGAGGCAATCATTTTGTATATTCCTGGACGAAATGTGCTTAGGCGATGCAGTGTAGAAATAATTCAAGACATGCGCGCAAGCTGGTATAAGCTGATCCCTTCTTGTTGCAATTATTAAAAAGATAACAGATGTTATTTTGAGAAATTATTAACGAAATTGATTCGAGTGACTCTTTTTTCAGGTATCTTATCGTAATTGTTAAATAAATAAATAAATATATTAAACATATTTATATATAAATAAACAAATAAATATAATTCATATATATCTTAATTTATTATGGACCGAGCGCTGCGACAATCGAGTACCTTACTCTCGGAATGCTCCGATCAGAAGGGTTAATACACCACGACAAAATACAAAAATACATCACGAGTCCGATATGTTATTCTGCGCGAATGGGTTAACCTATTGCTTTGACAACCAATTGAAATATTCGGAGTATTACTCGAGGAATTATGTTTTGTGCCTATTTTACACAGAAGCGTGCACTGATTCTGTTTATCAATATCTTGCTGATCGATCACGAGTCAATTCGTATTTCCACAACCCGAACGATTTACGAATTAAATTATATTTACACTTTATTCGTTTTTACTCGAATACAATATAGGTTTTTATGAAAGCATTTAAGATCGTATTCGTTAGATTAAATTGTTTGAATCAGTCGATCACATTATATGTAAATAAAGTATGTGCATTGAAGTTTCAAAGAATAATTTTCGGGTACAAATGTCGGTCAGCAAAGTGTTAATAAATTTGTGTAAAATAACGCATTTCAAAACAATCTAATATGTGCAATGCAACAAGACTATTGATATGTATAACAAGTCATTGGAAATGTTGGACTAAAAACGTCTTGACGTGCGTAATACACCTTTCAACCGCAAATGGTTAACCTATTGGTCTATGGTAAAGCTCTATGTTCACTGTAAATTCACTACTTTAATTATACTACATAATTTTTTAGCATTCTCTATATATAGAGAGAATATATATATATATATATAGATATAGAGAATATAGAGAATGCTAAAAAATTATGTATATATATATAATACATACTTACCTTCGTGTATGTACAGATACGTTTTAAATATGCATACTCAATGTACAATGTCAGACTTACCTCCGTATGTTGGCAAACAGTGGCAACAAGAAACTTTCTTCTACGTGACTTTATTCTGTTCTCGCGAAAATCTGACAAAATTACCTTGGACGTTCATTTCTTGAACGTTTTCACGTTGCCCTTTGCGTCGAAAATAAAGAATTTACACAAAAATATTTGAATACCAAACCTTGGATAAATGCAGACATTTTCTTCATTAACATAGGGATTAAATCTTGGGAACCGACAGGGAAAGATTATTTAAAAGGAGTGCATGATGAACAAAAGGTTAAGAACCACTGAGATAGGCGATAGTCGATAGACGGTGGTTTCCTTTGCGTTCGATTCATAATGTAAAACCGTACGGTCCCGCGAATCTCATGGAATTTTAAACACGCCTCTCGAACGCGCCTTCTATGCACCGGATTATCGCGACCGGGCGTTAAACGCGCGTCCCGAGATATCTTTCCTGCCGCGGGGTCCGCGATTCACTATGGTAATTGAACGATAAAATGATTATTGTTATTAAATTGATCACACTGCGCCTGGTTTCCTGTAGACTCTTTATATTGGGTTGAACGGACAGTTTTGACGAAAAACTTAAGGAAAGAGTAATGTATTGAAAAAAAATACAATTTATTTCACAATGTAAAATATATGTTCCATGATACGATACAATTGTTTTCCACTCTAAGCTTACTTTTAATGCCGAAGTAATAGTGAAAAGTCTAATAGTAAAATTTCGAAAGATCAAGTAGTAAGCAGTCGCATTCTTAATGTTTAAGAATGGGAAAAAAGTGAAATTTGTAATTCTAGATTTAAGTTCAAATTCCGAGCTTTAAAGAATATAATTCTAATTATTGTAAACCAGATATAACTTGTTGTGAGCATTAAACAAAATTGCATAGAACTATGTCGACGGTAACCAGCTATAAAATTTAAAATGACTTAGATTTATGCCAAAGTCCGTCAATATATTATTTGATACTTCTAATGGAATTCATTGCTGAATCCGATGATCTAAGAACGATTATGTCTGCCGGAAATATTAAAATATGAGTTTCTTACTTTTTGAAACAGACTGACCATATTATAAAATAATCATAATCATGATATGAAATAATTATATGAATATATCGTTTATCCTCATACTTCTCGAAGAATAAATACTAACATTCAACTAACGATAGGTTATAATAAAATACAAGGTTGAACGTAACATCATCCGTAAATTGCTTCTGAACGGAACGATAATTTCGCAGTGCGCAACACCGTTTATAAACAGTAAACTGTTGTGAAGTGAATGTCCGAGGATTCTATCTGATCAATTACGAAGTACGAATGATAATCTCGCTAATATCATCGCGAATACTTCAGTAAACCATGTATCAGCAGAAATCTCCTCGTGAAAATTAAAATAGCTTCTAACGTGAAATGATACTAACAATATCTCGCTAATACCATCGCGACTACCTTCGTCAACCATGTGTCAGCAAGAATTTTCCCGTGAGAAGTAACACAGCGTGTAATATAAAATGATTTACTCCATTCTAACCTTTCAGGTATAAAACGAAGCACAATTCAGGTTTGTCGTTAAACATGTCATCGAGACAGCCAACGTAAATGAACGTACTTACGAATTTTCGATTCCTAAGATTTTTATTTAGGAACAGCAATTAAAATTATTGACGTTGTAACTGCCAAGCAGTCAAACTAACTCGCACATATATTCTCGTACCAATCAGAGGATCGTATTTATTGAAATTTCAATCAACTTATCGCGAATTAATTGATTTATATGACGGTTTCCCGGAAAGCGTGTTTATATTTTCAATAAATCGTGGGAGAAGATACCGGAAAAGTGGGTCGTATTGACTTATAACCACAGTTCCGGCGTTAATCACTGGCATCGTACGGTTGCATCGTTGGATTTTACTCACCGGCAGAAATGGAGAGTGGCGGCGGCGTGGGCGTTGTCGAAGGTGAAGGGATTCTTCTAGCCGCGCCGGTAATTATAGCCGCTGGACTGTACCGAGGCACCTGCAACACCACAGGAGTTTTCACGGACAGGTCCACTGGTTCCAGCTGCACGGGCGGTCCCGCCGCCTGAAACAAAAAACGCGTGCAACCGTTAATTCATGCACCTACGGCGCAATGTGCACTCCGCCTGAAAACAGAATACATATCCAATTCCGTGTTTTCAAGATTTTTATTTAATACGAATTATTTGTGTCATTTGTTTAATTTCTCAAGAATTAAAAAACAAATTTCGTCTATTTAATAAATATTTGACAGAAATTTATTCCTTTTTTTTCTATATATGGTTCATTCTATTCTTTTATTGATTTTTCTTAGGTGTGGAATTAATCTCTCTTCTAAAAGGTAGAGTAAATTTTTTTTATATGGAACGTTTATATGGCACCTACCGTGTGAAAACAGAAAGTTAAATAGTAATTTCATTATTTATTTATTTCATTTGTTTCGTATATTTAGTCATGAGCTTGTACTAAAATAAGGTTATACTTGAATAATTATTTTATTAAAAGTAGAGTGTAATTATGTCGCATTTGAATTGTATAATGTGAATATTTAAAGCTCATAAATGATTTGATGAAGAGCGTAGTTGTTCGTCCGTTTCCTAAAATAATTGAATAAACTTTCGTATAATGGTATATACACAGTCACAGTATAATAGATTTTAAATTGAAGAATTGTGACTGTAATTAATGCAATAAGATGCATATTCGAGAAAGGTTTAATTTTTAGCTCTTAAGTAGAATAATGGTTTTCAGTTTTTCTTCTTGGGATTTTCTTTACACTACTTATGCGCCTCCAGAATGTTCCTCTCCAGAAAGTCTCTTGATGCACTCTCAGCTCGCTATACTTCTCAGCGCACTTCGCTCTCATAACGCACTGGTTGGTCTCAAGAACACACTTATCTGCACACATACACATACTTGGGCTCTCCATCATTCTGAAGCAGACGTATTTTTAGACGCTGCGTTTTTAATAATACCTTAATAAAGTTTCAAAAAAAGCTGTATCAAAATATTGATTAATGGGAAAGCTCTGTCAGTCTTCAGTCGAGTTAAGTCAACATTATTTCATGTTAATAGTTAATTAATCGACAAGTAACATTTCATCAGGCGAACTATTTTTACTACAGAGATTAAACGGTACCTTCTTAAAGGTTCATAGCTTAGAAAAATAAAAAAATCAATTGTTTCCACTAGAATCACTTTAAAACCATAACCCATGTAATAACGTTAAAAAAATCATTAAAACTTTTTGGTTACATTGTTTTCAATATTTAATAGAGAAATATACCTCACATTTAATAAAATACATATAAAACATGAAATGTTTTCGTTTGACCGTTTGATAAAAAATTCTCAATGATCAAAAGGTTTGGATATTCAGTAATTGTTCGTTAATATGCAAAACGTGTCTGGAGACAACGCGAGGCGAATCCAGAGCAACGAGAGTCCGACTCGGGGAGCGCGGGACAAAAATCGAATCCGACTTTGTGTTCGATGTCGCTCTCGCGTGCTGCGCAGCCATAAATCTTCTCAAATGGAGGGAAATACGCAAGTAATTAAACGCGTCAGGCCAACACCGACGATGATCGTATAATTATCCAAGTCGCAAAAACGTAACGAAGACAAATTATCGCCACGAATCCGGCGTCACATGGAATTACGATTTCTTTAAATTACCGTACCCCGTTGAACTCATCTGGTATTCACACTGTATTATACGAGTACATTCTTCAAAGTCAGATGAACTTGTTTCTCGAGAAGGGAAAGATATTATTTACCGGAAACATTTCAATTTGTCAGCTCAGACAGAGCGAAGATAAAATATGAAAAATCGAAATGTTCGTTTTTTACTGTTTTTTAGAGAACCGATCGGGGCGAGTTTCATGAATTTCAATTTATGTAATATGCAGATTCGCCTGCTGTGCCACTGGCGGAGCACATTAATTTCGTTGGACACTGTCTACAAATAAAAGTTCGTTTTTCATTTATTCTTTAAATTGAATACATCGATATGTCAAGTGTTACGAATCTTTTCGAAATCCGTGTCTTCGCTGTAACGTTATGTTGAAACAATTTTTTCGTGATTCGCAGATAATACTCTTGTTGATGATCAATCAAATTGTTCGTTTACAGCCTATGCTTACTGACTTTAAATAAATTATATGAAATTATTTATGAATAACTTCTACGATTAAAAAATATCTTTTAAACAACCTGTCACGTTTGTACATTATCTTCACTACTTTATCAATACTTTATTTGAATATTTCGTTCATTTAATACTGATAGTTTATCCTTATGTCATTCTTATCATCTTATTATCAGTTACTAAATTGTACTATCAGTTTATTCTCAATATCTTATTTATTCTTAGCTTATACTTATAATAAATATCTTCCGAAGCACCGTATCACGCGACAATATTAAAAACGTGATATAAAAAAATATAATTCATTAAATTTAAAAATAAATATTTTCCTATTTATATGCCTACCAAGGTGCACCCAATTCTGTTTTTACACGATTTTCATTTAACACGAATTACATTTTCTTCTTTCACAAGTTTTATTCAACGCAATCACCTAAATTGTAACATGAATTTTCGTACGGTTTATCGTATTATTCTATCAATTTCTCAGGTCTAAAACCAATCCCCATTTTCCTATGGATACAGTACATTTTTTTTACATGGAATGTATCTATCGCGTACAAACAGAATCGAGCGTGTACTATAATATAACCTGTTTCACGTAGTGCATTCTGTATTCTGACATTGATCGTCAGCGATACGATTCGTTAATGAAAAGCGATGTCGTCGCGTGTTCATCGCCGCTTATGAATGTTATCGATCGTCGTACGATCGAAGGAACTGGATAGCATCAACCGTATAGACAAGTGGGCAAACTTGGGTCACTCTGATCTCGTGGGAACTAGTCGTGATTAGTCCACGTCAATAGCAACGCTAGTTATGCTAATTGCGCGAGAGCAGTTCGTCGAACGCTGCCGGAGATAAGCTAGGTACGAAGGTAGTACCTTTGGCTATCGATTTATCGGGCTCACTCCCTCGGAGGGATTTCTGATCGGCCGCGCGATCACTGGATTACGATAGCTCCTTCTGCAACGCGCGAATTCCGTTTCTGGACTGCGCTGCTTATTCCACGGAATCACCAGTCCGCCGCAGATTCTTGTCATCCTTCAAGTAATCATTCTATTGAAAAGGTCGATCTTTCTTCATTTTTCGAAAGTAACATTCGAAGCGGAACTAATCATCGCAAAATTAACTGCGAATAGATAAATAAATCTAAGGAATAGATAAGTACTATAAAATAAACGTAAGAACTAGAATTCTTATGAAATTATTATTATTCTCAGAATCATTGTGGCCGAGCTATCTGTTTCTGAATTCTAGGGAAAAAATTGTAAAATATTGTAGGGTTAATTAAATACTAATGTTACAAACATTAATATCAATAACAATAATGAGTATTTAATCAATAGAAGAACATTTCGCAAAACCTTTCTTTTCACGACAACTCGGTAATAAAAGATATACCAATATTATTCTGAATCACTCATACAGTTTCAGTGTATACAAATTTATGTTAACACGTAAGTTACCGCTAAGCGTTACGCTGCCAGTTTTGGTAATTACCGTGTTTTCTTAAATCTGATATACATATATTTTTCTATAAAATATTTTATAAAAAAACGTAATTAATTAAACAGTTTAAAATGACCTAAAAACAAAAAATTCGAAAAATAATTTTCATTTATAAAAATGATTAGTTTCATTCGATCTCTGTAGGAAGCCGTGACTAACGAATAAAAATGTGAGGATCAGCGATTACGGGGTATCGTTTAGGCATCATTTAGGTAGAGAGGAATCGTGCCGGTACAGGATTTACAAAACAGTCGGACGGAAGATCAGATTTACAGCGGCGCTGGTTCGACCACTAAGAGCGATTGTTTCCAGGTAATGTCTTGACGAAACGTGGGAATGCTCGAGCATATATCGACAATGAAAAGCTGCCCCTTCGCCCGCAACCACTGTCCTCCGCTGCCTTTCATAGAGTCAAACGAACGGTATCGTGTCGTGAAACACGATACACGGCTAATAACGTAACGTTCGTACCTACGAAAGTACTCATGTGTGTACGGGATAACTCTATGAAACTGTAACCTACGAGTTAACAAATCGAACGACAACGGGAACTCACACGTCCTTCCACTTAGAAGTTTAGTCATATTAGACAGGCAACAAGAATGTTCTTATCCGGGAAGCATGATTTTTAGAAAAATATCTCTTTCAACCCCTTCGACCTAACGAGCGTGTACAGAACTTTAATAATTTATTGTTTGGTTTTCGAATTTTTAACTTGAAATTTTTGTCTTTATATGAACCTCGTGTACGGTGCATGTGGTTCTCGTTGTGAATGAAAATATTATTGTATGGTTTTAATATTCTGTGCAGTAATTTTATTATTTTGTTTGTTTCTAACATCTTTATTATTTTATTATTTCTTAACTGCTAATAATATCGAGGATCGTCACAAATTTCAAATAAAGTTTATTTGCATTCAATAACATGGTCCAAGATAAATAATTTATACCACTGTTCGCCATTAGCCAGAGATGAATTTCTGAATCGAACAACTTCATTCACTCGCAAATTTCAATTCATACGTCATGGTAGTTTCTACTATTGCGGTTGAATAATAATTCGTAATCATGACTCGTATTGCGCGGCGAACGGAATTGCGAAACCAGGCGGTGTGGTCCGTTTCCAAAAAAGTGACGCTCGTCACGCGAGACACGCCCGTGTCAGCGTTCTCGTTTTCAGGAAACACGTCGTTACGCGTATTTGTTATTCATGAACGACGACAGGCTTCTAACTGCGTCGGCCATAGGTTCGGTCGCAACAATGAAACAATAATGTCATGCGCGTCACGATGCACCCCAGGACACAGATATTCTTCGCAATATCCCACGATTGTAATTACAGAACGAAAGAATCTATAATTGAGTATCGTCCATGAATCATTTGAAATTTTCCTGTCACAAAAATAT